AAAGTGAACCACCAGAAGAGGAGTGTCAGACTATATTTCAGATTTTCTGTCTTATGCAGAGCTGGTCTGCATTATCCGTAGACTGGTTGTTTTTCAAGCGAGACTGGGTGACTAGCTCTCAGCCCGGGGCGAGGGCGGGGCTGTTCCCTGTCTCGTGGGAGCTTAGACCGCTCAGGCATCACAAAGGGCCTGGGCCGGGGCCTGTTTTGCTTGCCTGGATAGTTATTGTTTCCTGTGTTTTGCCTTTCAAATTTTTAATTGGTCAACATTTAGAAATCAGGTGATTTCTCCATAAAGTCCAGATCTCCACATTTCTTTTGAAAATGTGGAAGAGCTGCTAGGTTGGGCCTGCACTTCCCCGAGGCAGCAGTGGCTGGGATGGGTGGAGGCTGCTCGCTCTGTGGCTCCTGCCTCCGGCTGACACAGGAGCACCTCCAGGAGACGGGCCGTGTTTTATTCACCTCTGTGTGTCTCCACCAAGTACTGGGTGCTTGCTGAATAAACGAGTGGCCAGCCTTCTAAATATATACCCAAGAAAAATTATGAATTTAAGTGCCCGATTTTAGTCTTTTAACATCTTTAATTAAAAGCAACTGCTCTTATCCAGCTAATGATCTTGTTTTTAATTTTATAAAAACAATCTATGGCAAGCCCAGTAATTTAAATATCTAGATTAATATTTAATTATTCATTTTTTAATTAACAGAGTTTTATGGTATGTATCAATATGAATTTCCTCTTTCAAAATATCAGCAAAGAGGATTTAGTACATATGAGAGAAAAGAACAATTCTGAACTGTGAGCAGTGTCCTTATCAAGCAGAATGAGTTGTGTGTGTCTCCTCTTTGAATCCTTTTCAGGCTAGAGCGTCACTCTTGTCTTTGGAATGGTTTAGGGACAAAGAGAGAAAGGAATGACTGAAACACAATCACTTTGTTCCCAGGATTCCATGATCAATCTAGCCTCGCCAGTCCTTCAGCAGACCCTGCCATTGATCATGGGTTATCAATACGAGGATCACTTGAACTTGGTCCTAGCACAAACCTCACTAACACCAAGAGTCTTTAGAAAATGACCTTATATCATCTTTGAGTAAAGTTGTCTTATACCTTTCATTTTAGGGGACTGCATAGAGACTGCCCAAGACTATTTATAGGAGGAGTGAATTTAGGGGTGAAGAAGGAACTTCTCCTGATACACTGCAAAACGCATCTAGGAGCACAACATCTGAAATTCTAGTTTTCCATTTGAATTAAAAATTTGTAACTTTGTCTTTAGAAAGCAAAGGAGGGCCTTCTAAATAACTATTGCTTATTACCTCTCAAGAGTAATTCATCAGGTTATGAACTGTCACTCAGTACATCCCCGAGGGAACTGCACATTATTTTAGGCAAATACATTTTGGTGAAGGAAAGAGGAAAAAACAAAAATAGTTTGAAATATAGATGGGAGAAGGAAGAGCAAGTATAAGAATTCCATCGGTTGACAAAAGAACATCCAAACCTATAGAAAAGTTTCACAAGAGTTTATTTGAGCCAAATTTTGGGGACATGCCCAGAAGCAGGATGTCAAGGGACTGGGGAAAGGCTCCGGAGAATGGCAGTTTTTCAGTTCCTTTTCTGCAGTAGAATCCAAGGAGGAAACAAACATAAGGAAGGTACCTGAAATCAACTGATGGTAGACTGAGGAGGCAGGAGAAAGCAACTCAAGGAAGTTTCCAGAACTAGAAAAAAGCAAAATGGAGTAACGTGCTTCTTTTACATCAGTGGGTGCAGGGTAGTTAGTGAACATTTGCAGCACACAGAGATGGGAACAAGACAGCAAGGAGGGGTTCTGTGGTCTCCTGCTCTGGTGCCAGCAGTTGTGCCTTCAGGGGGTCTAGACGAGAAAATTACTCTGACATTTCAAAGGTATGTGATCCTAGATGCATAAGATAATGGACAGAGCTCATTTGAGGTAAAGGTTGACCTTTGCTAAGGAAAGCTGTAGGCCTGGGACGTGCCTACCCCCATAACTTGCCCGATTAGGAATCAGACCATCCTGCGTGGTTACTTTTGGTCACTGAGCTTGTCAGGCTTGCCATGCGTCCCCCTGTCCCCACCCCCCCAAGCTTGGCGGGTTTATTATGTAGCCGTTTTTTCTCATTCATACATCGTTCATTGAGTAAATATTTATCGGGTGCTACATTAAGTGCTGGGCATACAGCTGGGAAAAGGATGTCTCTGTCCTCTGTCTAGTGGGTTCAGTTGGAATTCTTCGAATAACCACAATAATAAATAAATGTACAATTGAGATGAGGCCTTTGGCTCCTGATGAGAGAGAAAAGAGGACTGAAGAGACGCTGAAAATAACCGCCTGGAAGAGAAGCAAGTGATGAGTATTTCTGGCTGGGTATGCTCTGCAATCTGATGTTTATGCCTTAGTTACATGAAGTTTGTTCATTTTGGGAATGATGGGGATTACAGGATTTGCAAACAGTTCAGTAAAGCTCTGACTTAAATAGTTGTGATGCTATTAAGATTCCTGCACCCCATGTCGGCTTCTCCTGCTGTTTAGAAAACAACATCAAAGCTCACCTCCCTGGCTCTCCTAACAGTCAACTGAACCAAGGTTTGTTTTCATTTTAGCATTCACTAAGCTGCTTTGGTGTTTCAGAAACTAGCTAAGCCAAAGGGATGAAATGCAAGGTTATTACACTTCAGCATGTTCTAAGGCTGGGGGAGTAAGAGTGGCAGAGAGCCAGCCCTGGCCTGTTCTTCTCCCCGGTGATTAAGGAGGATTAGTGGAAACTGTAGGAAACAGGGAGCCCCCCACCTGGCACACTCGCAGAAGTAAAACTCTCCCAAACCCAAAACACTGTGCAGCCCTTTCCTCAGGTCACGGCGACTCTGCGCTCGCTCCAGTGTTCAAGGCAACAGTGTACGGTGGGTACCTCCTTTAAGGGGTGTTGAAGGAATGGCAGACCTGCCTGAAAGGAAAAGTGCCTGTGGCACCTTTCACAAGAGCGAATCCTCTGGCATCTGCATCCTGAGCTAGACGAGGCACAGGCACAAATGCATCGTGTTTCAAAATATGGTCTTTTGGAACTTGGACCCCAGCTTTGCACAGAAACAACCGTATGAACGATGATTGTAGATCTAAGAAAGTCCTCGGAAGTTTATTCGGTTCATAACGTAACACCAGCTTCACCTACATTATTATCGTGAATTAAATGTGCATTAAAGAGATTTTATGGACTTACTGTTGCTCTGGTATTTCTGTAGGAAAACGGAAAGTACATTCTGACTTGGAGCTTGAGCACTAGGCATACAACCCTCTCACGCCCCAATCCTTCCCATCCCAGTTGTTGGCCTGAGTGGGGGAACATCCTCCCAGCCCCCTCCCCCAGAGCCCGGCTTCTTGACAGCACTGCTCTCTGCCCACACCCAGAAGCTGTCAGTCACCAGGGAGAGGAGACACTGGTGGTTCAGGATTTTCCCACTCTGTGGGGTTGACAGAAGGAGTTTGTTTTCTGTTGCTCCAGAGAGCAGAACTTGGACTCACAGGTGAGGCTGTAAGAAGTAGCTATTGGGTCAGTGAGAGAATGGGCTTCCTTGTGGCAGGAGGAGCCATGTGCCTGCGGCTGTCCGTGAGCAAGACGGCCATAGATGCGGGCTGGAGTCCCAAGGCTAGAGCTGCTCAGCAGTGGGACAGGCCGGCTTTGCCCCTCACCAGAAGTCTTCAAGCAGAGGTTGGGAAGCCAGCTGAGAGGGCTGGTGCTGCTCTGGGAGGGTGGTCCACTAGAAAATAATATTTTATTACTTGTCCATTATAGGGCAAGCCCAGGGGTAGATTGCTTCAGGTATATTCTTTTAAGTTTCACAAAGACTGGTAGGTGTGACCTCTCCTGTGGTACAGATGAGGAAATTGAAGCTGAATGACATGCACAGGATTACACAGCTAATAAACACCTGTACCATTATTGAACAGGTTTATTGTTTTTATATTCTCATACTTAGAATATAAAATGAATTCTCAATTCATTCCTGTACTAAAAGTGGTACACAGTACAAGCTATCTACACATCAAGGTCACCCGCATAGGTGACGTCTCTCACTGGGAAGATGCTGTGCACAGGCTGCGTGTGTTTCATCCATTCAGGACCCCAGGCAGATGTTAGAAAAATAAAGGTGTTGTAGCCTGAACGCATGTGTGTTGTGTGTGGGTAGAAGGAAGAAGAGGGTAGAATTAATAGGGCTCCTGGCTCCTCTGAACCACAGCATTTCATCATTGGGGGGTCCCCTCTCCGTCATAATCCTTTATTGATCGCCCCATCCTCAGAAGTGCTTTTTGGGAAGAATGACAGGGAATTCAGACAGACACCAGATTGTCTGCTGAGAAGTTTAAAATAGAAAATGTCCAGACTGTTGAGTGTATTATGTGTTAGGCGTGTTAAAATGTTCAGCTCTTCGTTTCCACACAGCCTTCATTTCTTCCACTCCCTGTTCATTTCCAACCCCCTGGCCATGTTTATTTCTGCTCTGGGGGGAAACTCATGATCCCCCCCTAGCCTTTTCATCTTTAAATGTTCAGTTCGTCTAAATTAAACAAAGGGATTCAGAGACTGTCACCTGACTAATTCTGTGACTATGAATACCTGCATGCTCTCATAGCCTTCAACCCTCTTTAGCAGAAGGCACCAGGCTGCTCTGTGGAAAGCCCCCTCCGATATTTGCACAGAGAGCATTACCCGAAGCGCAGTCCCCTCCCTCTGGTCAGATGAGTGGACTCATCACCTCCTTCCTCTAGGGAAGGTTCAAAACCCACCTTGCAGCCCACTCCCCTCCCTCCACATGGCTGAGTTTACTCTGGATGATTGGGCAGTTCCTGGGCGTGACCTGGAAGTGGGATGAGAGCCCCAGCAGCCGAATGAGGGGGCATCCCTCACCTTGCTGCGTGTGAGCACCAGGCAGCCACCCAAATCTAGGGAGTGGAAAGCTGACCTCCTGATGCTTTTGCAGCCTCCTGCTCGGTGGACTTGGAGAGGCCTTGCTGGTGTTCTCAGAGCGGAAGGGCGCCTAAAGATGACCACAAGAAAAGGAGAGCCACCAGCTGCCCACCAGAGAGGACAGCCCCAGGCTGCAGAGGTCCTTGCTATATGTGTTAGAAAGAAGAATGCAAAGATGGTGAGACCACGGCTTCTCACTGTGTCAGGAATGTTCTGAGGGTCTCTGGGCTGCTGCAGAGACTGGACTGTGTTGTGTCTTCCCTCTGAGAGGCTCACTAGAGCCGTGCTGTTCCCAGTCGTACAGAAACAGATGCAGGGTTTCCCCTGGAGGGGGGCCAGCTCCGCTCACCTGCACTGACGTGCAGGCCTCCTCATTAAACACCCTTCCCAAAACACTGCTTTCACTCTGTGGTAGTAGCCCAAGATATGTGGTTGCATTTTTTGTTTTGTTTTGTGTTTTTACATCTTGGGAGCCTCCTGGGGATGTCCTTTCCTTGCTCTCATGCTGGCTTGCCTAGAGCCCTCACGCACCCACTCATGCGAATTCCTCAAGAGGTCTCCCACTCAGCGGGGTACGAAGCCAGCAAGGACGCTATTACTCTAGAGTGAGTGCTGAAGCCTTTTTGTGGTAGTGTGTTCTATTGTGTTGTGCTGTATTAAATTCTGCACACTTATTTTTTTTACCTGCCATTCAATTAACTTGATACTAAATGACCACCAGAGGGAATAGGGTATGTAAGCACTGATGATGCCCTCCCTGGGCAGGTGAAAACAGAAACAGCCCTTTAACATATAGGTATGTGCACATTTATATTTATATTCCTTAAAGCTTTTAACACCCCCCAAAAAAGCTTTTAACCCATTTAGTGATTACCAATATCTTAGAGTAAGTTGCAAATCATTGAACACCGAAGCGTACTTTTCAGGCCTGATTACAAATTGGATTAAAACTCTAAACCTTGCCTCTATGGGAATCAAAAGAAATGAATTTGCATGAAATGGTTATTTGATTGTGAACCCACAGTGGAGGTTTAAGAAAATAATGTCTAACCCCAAATACTTCTCTGCAGAGTAGGTTTTTTAAATACCTTACCACTCTGCCAGGTGTTGCTTTCGGTCATTTTGAGATGTAGGTGATAGTGAACTCCAGTGAGCCGTCTCCAGGCAGGGCCAGGCCCTGGAGTGGTGGACACCCCCACCCGCGTCACTGATGGAGAGGCCCCCCCAGTGCCTGGGAGGTGAGCCTGGCCCATCCTCTGCCCTGTGAAGAGCGGGGTCAGCTCAGTCAGCAGCCATTCTTTCCACACGTTTTCTCCAACGTGTAGAGAAAAGAAGAGAAAATGAAACAAGTAGAAATGGATTTGTATATGTGGAATTTGCGTACGTCAAATTAATTTCCTTGTCCTTTCCTGACCTCTGCTTGCCATTTCGGTAAAGATCTTCAGAGCGATCTTTGCACATAGGGAGTTTCAGTTTCCTTTCGCTCTGCACCTGGGATGTCCGACTTCCTATAAATTAGGATCAAATAGAAAGTTTGGGTTTGGAAATTTCCTTGTCCTTTTGCTCCCACAAGACCCTCTCTGTATAACTGAGGCCAGCTCTCTTCCATGTGTGGCACGTGGCATCTGTCCGACTGTCATCTCATACCAGTCTCTCCGAGTGGCCGTTATGTGACTGGCAATTCCTAAGGCTGGAAAGATCCGTGTGTCGTTCACAAGCTCAGCCCGCTGCTTCCAGCAGGACTGACCTCCAACACTTTGAAAAGTTGTGGGCATTTCTTTTAAAGAGTCTCTAGCCAGGGATTTTTGTTGCTATTGTTATTGTTGCTGCTCTTGTTTTTGTTTGCTTGATTTCTTAAAAATCATATTCCAGAGCCCCATTGTTTTTACTTTGACATTAGCAAGAGGCAGAATATAAATAAGGTATTTCTTCCACATTTCATCATGTTTCCTTCAACTTCTACCTCTTCTTGAGCTTTTTTCTTCAACCTTCAACCGCCACCTCTTATGCCCAAGCTCACATGCTCAGCTCTGAATGGGCAGTGAGCCCAGAGGTCTGCAAAACCAGGGGCTGGCCCCGGGCATTGCAGCCTTGTCGCTGTCACCTCCTGGAGCTCTCAGGGCCTCAGGGCCCCTGGACGGGCAATCCCCAGGTCACCCCAGCACTCTCGGTTACCTGGATGATCCCTTTGGTCATGTCCTCTCTGGGTCCCAGTTACCTGGGGCCTTGTCGGCCGCAAGTCAAAGCCGGGGTGTTTTGTTTTTTTCATTTGTAGAAATGAAGAATGTGCTTTCTGTCGAGAGAGGCAAGGTTCTGTATGATTGTGCATTGTTATTAATCTACTATGGATATAAGGAAAATAAACTATTTATTTTTTTACTTATTGGTAATTTGCCTTTCTCTTCTCTTTAACCCCAGCAGGAGGGAATTGCAGAAAAGGTTGTCATCCTTGGGGAGGGAGTTCTTTCATCTTAAACATGGGTCCAGGCTTCTACCAACATCCAGGCCACTCATCTGTCGGTCGGGGGGCCACCCAAGTCCTCCCTCCAGACCGCTCTGTACAGCAGGGGCACGTGTGGACTCTGAGCACTGAAGTGGGGGCGGGTCCAAGTCCAGATGTATTATAAGTGTGAGTGCACACCAATTTTGAAGATTTTAGAAAAGGATGTAAAATATACTCATTTTCATACTGATTACATATATAGAAATAATATTTTTGACATATGGTATAAAATAAAATACATCACCAAAATTAGGTTTTTCTGCTTCTTTGTACCTGTTTTAAGGAGGCTGCTACACAACTTTAATTTATACACTTGGCTCACACGATATTCCTGCTGGACAGTGCTCATGTAGAGCAGGCCTTCCACACTGGGACCAGGGGAGGGGCACGGGGGGCAGGGCCGGGTGTAGTGCGGGGGTTACCGACCAGTCATAGTACCTAAGTTCGTTACTGATTACTTGTTATGTCCCAAGAGCTGTGCTGGGAACTTCCGATGCCTCTCGTCACTGATTCTTTCCAATGCTGGGGCAGACAACATTTCCATTTTACTGAGGAGATTCAGAGAGTTTTCATAACTCTTCCAGGGTGACCCAGCTAGGACTCGAACCCAGCTCTTTCTGATTAAGCATGTTCACTTTAGAGAGTTCCATTAAGAAGAAACGAAGGCCCCTGTGTTTCACAGGGGGTGGTCAGTTCTGCAGTAAGTGCTTCCATGTGAAGTGCTCTCATCTGTGAGGCCATTTGTGGTTTTTCCCCGGAGGCCACCTTCCCTCCCTTTGCTGAAGGGCAGGGTCTATGACCTGAGTCTCAGCTGCCTTCCTAGAGTGGCCCAGCCCTTCCCCCCCACCACCTCCCCCTGGTTGTGGCTGAGACCGGACCCCGCTGCCTGCAGTTGGGAATGGCACTGCTCCCACCTGAACGGTCACTCTAAATGCTTGCAGAACAACCAGCCCCTGCAGAGCACGCAGGCCCGGTGTCCCGGGGATCAGCCTGATCAGAGGGCTGAGGGGTTTGAAGGTTGAAGCAGTCTGGACAGCAGTGCCAGGTGAGGAGTCCCCTTTCTTCACTGGATCTGCATGTCCCCGAAAGGAAGCAGTCACACATCTGGGTGAAACAGTGTGCATGTAAGAACACAGTATGTGGTTAATAATGCTTGGAACGTGGTATCTTTCTTGAGTGGTTGCCTGGGACAAAGCATTGAAATAGAATATGAAATCAGCTGGAGGTTCAAGTCGTTGAGACTTTTGGGGGTCACTGGTCCTTTGATCCCTGTTCCAGGGAAAGCCAGTCAAAGGTGTGAGGCTCTTAGGCTTCTTCCAGCCCTTCCAGCATCCTTGACTTGAGGCTGTGTCCGTCCACCCAGCACAGAGGGAGGCTGTGGTGGCTTGTCCCCAGAGGTGCTTCCACCCCCACCCCAAGTGTATTCATGCCCCTGTGTAGCTCCTGTCCCCGTCTCTCAAATCTGGGCTGGCTCTGTGATTTGCTTGTTACCAATAGGATGTGGTGGAAGTGAGGCTACATGACTTCCAAGGCCGTCAAAAGCAGACTTGTTGCATCTGCCTTTGTTTTCTGGAACAGCCTCTGGGAACTCTGAGCTGCCTTGCAAAAGTCTGACTCTCCTGAGGCTGCCATGTGGGAGAGACCAGGGTCAGGCGCTCCAGGAGGCCGTCCTGCTGAGCCCAGCCCTCTGGCTGCCCCACCGGCTCACCACGCCTGGGAGGGAAGGCCCCCTGGACCCTCAGGAACAGCCCATCCAGCAGCTGAGTGCCATCAAGTGACGTCAGTCAGTGCCAGGTGAGACAGAGCATCACCCAGCCAAGCAGTGCTCACATGAATTCCTGACCACAAAATCATGAAATTCGGTCAAATTGTTTAAGCTGCTAGCTTTGGGGAAAATTGTCACACAGCAATAGGCAATAGAGCAGAGGCCCTTGAATGTGGTTCCTCTTAAGTGGATCTGATCTGAGCACTCGGAGCCCTTCCCCTGAAGAGCCCCTCGTTCCAGGAGAACCAGTCCAGCTGGCTGCCAGCCCTGGGCCTGCCCTGAGGAAGGGGGACCCGGCAGGCTGGCTGAGGCTTGCCCAGAGCCCAGTTTCAGGGCAGCGTCTGTACCTTTGGGTCCGAGTACCTCCTCATTTGTTCATTTTAAAGATACGGAGGAGAACCCACTGTGTGCTAGGCTCTATCTGGGGCTCTGCAGATCTGAACATGAACAAGGCAAGTGCTCCTGAAGCTGACTTTCTAGGGTTAGAGACACAATAAACAAATACTGTAAATAATGGAATTTGTGCTTTTAAGAAAATAACGCCAAGAAGGGAAATGCAGGTTCTTCTGAGCATCTGAGGAAAGGATGGAATTTTGGAATTTCTTTTCCAAAATGTACAGTGTCTCTCTCACACACAAAACGAAGCATGCAGTTGAGGGGATTTATTCTCCCTGAAGTCTGTTGGACCTGTAGGGCCATGGATTCCAGGTTAAGAACCTCACTGGGGAACACAGGGTGAAGCCAATGATCCCCACAGTGGACCTTACCCTCCCTCCCCACCAGTTCCAAGAAGGGGAGGTCAGGTCAACCAGGTAACAAATCGGCCTTGGGCAGGCATCGGCCGGTCAAAGAAGGCTTGGCCCTGCCTGTGGGATGACCTTAGTCTCGTGTGGGACAGGTGATGTGCAGACTTTAAAATGGCCCTCCTGGTCAATTCCAAGGGCATGACACACATGACAGGTTCCCGAGGAAATGCCGAGAGGAAGTCCCTGCCAGCGGTGAGCTTACCGTGGGCCATGCAGTGTTGCCCAACGTGCTGCTTCTCTCCTGTGCGTCTCACTTAATCCTCACCAGGACCTTCCAGTGGAGGGATTGTTGGCCTCACTTGAGGAGGAGAAGGCAGACAGAATGGGAGTGAGTTCCCTGAGGTCCTTGGCCAGTTAGAAGGGGCAGGAGGATTCGAAGGAGGTCATTGGACCACGCAGCCCTGCCTCTCTGCTCCCGTGGTGGTCTGTCCCGCCCAGGAAAGTGGAAAGGAACCTGAGCGAGCAGAGGTGGAGGTGGGGAAGTTAGGCCATGCTCAGGCCGTGACCACGGAGTGGCAAAGCCATGGCTTGTGAGAGGCCAGGAGGTAAGTTGGGCCAGCTGGGGTGTGATTTGAACACTGGGATGGCAGAGAACATTTGTGAGTACCTGTGACACTCCAGACAGGGCACAAGTGCCTCCCATACATTATGTCATCGGCTTTTCACGCCCTGAATGGAGGGACAGGAAACCTCCCCAAGCTTACCACTGCTAAGCCAAGAATCCAACCCCTCTGCCCTGGTCCCTCCCCAGGTGATGGGTTGTCTGTGAGCACTCTCCACCACCTCACTGCCCCCCACCCTGCCCCTGCCACCCCGACCAGGGCTGTGGGCTTTGAGCAAACCAGAGGAGCTAGGTGCCCCCTCTCCCTGGGGTGGCCTCTCACAGGGCCCAGGGCAGTTTGCTACCCCCACCCCTCCGTCACTGGCTGCCCACAAGGCCACTCCCGGGTCTCCTGCTCTGGGCAGCAAACCCCAGGGAAGGCTGAGCCCATTCTGGAGCCTGCACGAAGGTTCCTTTTTCCTGGAAACATTCCAGAGACAGCACCTCCCATGCTCTCTGGTGAAATGAGGGTCTCTTTGCTCCTACTGTGAGCTGATGTTCTGTGGCCTGACTGGCAGCGGCTCCCCTCAGTCAGACAGACAGTAGCTGTGAGCTTTCATCCAGTTCCATCCAGGACCCACGGGGGAGGGGTCTGAAGGAACTGTCTCACCCACTCCTGGCAGCTGAGGGTGGAATCCCATTTAAGTAATTGCCTGAGCCCAGAGGAACATTCGAGTCATTTATTACCCTTTTGCTGTGTGAAAAGGCCCACGGGGCTGGCAAAGGCAAGGCTATTGTGCCCATTTGTCTCCACACCTGTCACCTCATCTGAGTGCACCTCAGGGAGAACAGCGAAGCCCAGGAAATTGGGGGATTTAATCGAGTCACCTTTCCTGGGCCAATGGATTTACATGACAGAGAAGTTAAGGGAAGCTGCCTAGTACAAAGGGCTCTAAGTCAGAGATAGAACCCTGGGTTCTGTCCCTGCCGGCTCACCATTCCTTCATTCGTCTCCTCGCTACTGCCTTCAGCACATCCACACCGAGGCTCCACGGGGACTAGTCTTTGTTTCCTCCAGCAGACCTAACCCGCCATCCTAAAGAAGCCGGCCCCTCTGTTCGGAAGCGGAGCTGCTCAAAGAGGTGAGGCTGTAGGCAGACTCTGCATCCCAGAGAGAGGAGTGGGAAGCGGTCCCTGAGGCAGAACCTCCCTCGTTCTGGCAAGAGCACTGTTGGCGACTTTCTATACGTGAGTGCGGACCTAATGAAAAGACACATTCCCTCTTCCCAAGGAGGCCCTGAGCCTACAAGAAGATGCACAGCCTGAAATTTAAAAAAAAATAACAGCTTTGCCCTAGTCAGTGTGGCTCATTTGGTTGGATTGTCATCCCATAACCAAAAAGTCATGGGTTCAATTCCCTGTCAGGGCACATGCCTAGCTTGCCAGTTTGACCCCTGGTCCAGGCAGGAATGATCCCCAGTCTGGGCGTGTATGGGAGGTAACTAATCGATGCTGTTCTCACATGGATGTTGCTCACATTGATGTTTCTCTTTCCCTTCTTCTCTCTAAAAAGCAATGGAAAAGCATTGTTGGGTGAGGATAAAACAAGTTAAAAAATAATTTTATTGAGATATATAATTCACATGCCTTAAAGTGCGCCCAACAAAAGTTTATAATTTGGTGTTTTTTAGTATATTCACAGAATTCTGCAACCATCACCACTACCTAATTAGAACATTTTCGTCTCCCCCTTCTCCCACCCCCATACCCATTGTCATTCCTCATTCCCAGCTCCTGCTGACCGAGGCCACGCACTGTGTATCTCTGCAGATTTGCCTGTTCTGGACACTTCAGAAGAGTGGGATCATGCAGTATGTGGCCTTTTGTGTTAGACTCAGGTTTTTAAGTACCGTATTTTGCTGCATATAATGAACACATTTTTGCCCAATTTTTTAGGGAAAAATAAGGATGTGCATTATACATGAGTAGTGCCTGAAATGCCTTGTATCTGTTTTTGTGTTTTGTAATTACTCATTATATAACATTTCTTGTACTATAATATGTTCAATTCCTTTACGATACAAAAAAACAAGTATCTAAATATAAAATGACCCAAAAATTGAATTAAAAAATTAAA